GGGGTGGGGTTGGGGAGAGGGAGAAGCAGACTCCCCACTAAGCAGGGAGCCTGATGTGGGGCTCGATCCCAGGACCCCGGGATCATGACCCAAGCTGAAGGCAGATGCTCAACTGACTGAGCCACTCAGGCGCCCCTCGACAAATAGCTATCTATAGTGGGAAACTCATTTAAATCCCTATCTCATACCATGCTCCTTACTCTTCTGTATGTTTGAAATGCATCATAATAAAAACTTAGTTTGACTAAATGCATACACTAAAATCTCTTACTCTGTTAGTAAACCACAGGCCAGTAGTCATAATTTCACAAATTGTTCTCCTTGCTAGGATCCGAGGGCCTATGAGCTTACTTAAGTTGCATATAACGTCAATTTCACATCAACTTTTTGTATAATATAAGTCTTACCTCATAGATCCTGGCAATTCCACAAAGTAGGGTTACTTCTCCTGGAAACTTATCTAAGCCTTGTTTGAAAAGATTTAAAGCTGTCACTGGTTGATCCAATGAGATATAAACCTAAAACCAAGATACATTTCAATGAAAGTACTGGTTCTTAAAATAACAGTATTTGTTATGACAAGTTTATAATTATTGCTTAATAACAGATTATCTCCTAGATACAACAAGTAAAAAGTTTTCAGAAACGTGGATTAATTTTCAATAGTGATGTTAGTTTTATCTTCACATGTCATATATGAAGCATCCACTCATTTATTCCTTCAACAAATGCTCATTGTAGGCCTGCTATCGCCTTAGAGACTGAGCAGTAACTCAATAAGAAAGGAATGAGGGAAAATCTGTTTAGGATAGAGCAGACGGGACTATGTCTATAAGTGGGCACAAAGGAACCAATCAGGAGATCGAAGTTGGAGACGCAGGAGAAAGAGCAGAGGACCAACGAACAAGAAGGTCTGAGAAAGAGCAGCAGTGGAGAGCCCGTGGAGAAGCTGGTTTTGGAAAAGGGCCCTCGGAAATAGAGGAGGAACAGATTTGTGAGGAATGGGGTCAGGGAGTTGAGAAAGATAGCACTTGATGACTTCCACTTAATTAGCAATTAGAACATTAGCATAAATAAATTGTATACTTCATGGGAATTTCTAAAATAGGGAATTATAGTTTTAGGCATGGAAATACAAGATTATGACATTTTTTCTTCATGATCTTGGATCCTCTATTTCTTTTCAAATAGACTGTGCTTTGAAGAAGGCCCAAATGGATCCACAGAAAACCTGTTTATAGTGTTTAATGCTAAAGTATGAGATTAAAGGGAGAGGTATGGATGAAAATATTTCAACTTTTACTTTATACACCATTGAACTGCTTTTTTAAATACAACAAAATATACCAAGTAATATAAACATTTAATAATTTTTTAAAAAATTAATCCAATATTTTCAGAAATAATATTCCTCAATCAGATTGATCTCTATTTCATAGCAATTATTCTTTCATATATTAAAGAAAATAAATAAATTTTACTTTGAGACAGTCATGTAGGCAATAATAGATTTAAGCAAATCAATTTATGGAAAAATATGTCAAACCATGTAGTCAACGAAATAGTTAAAAAGCACATTTTTTTAAAACACCTGGCGATCATCAGTTAAGAAGATGACAGTCAAATAGTGTGACCTGAGTTTTAATTTCAAGGTATCTGAAAAGTTTAAAAGTCTACTGTGATGCTTAGAAACTTCTTTAAGAATTTTAGGTTTTATATATAATGTACAGAAGATGGAAAACTATGGTAAACAGATCAAGATTATTTAGCACCATAAGTTTATAGTGTGTAACTTTAACTTTCATTTTGTTTCTTTTTACTGTGCAAATTCTTAAAGCCATATTTAGGAAGTAGTGGCATTTCCTTTTATAGCTCTTCTTTTCAAACCCCTTTCGCACACTTTTTAATTTTAAAAAATTAGTCAAGATACAGCAAGATGATGTCCTAACCAGCACTTCGTCAAATGTTTCGAGTAGCCCTGGCGAGGGCCAAGAAGTAACTTTTTCCCAGGACTGAAAATTCTGGTGGCCCTTCACTTCCACTGTGGTTGTGGGGACCAGTATGGGACAGTGAGGAGGAAGACCTGCATTGGAGTGCTGGCTCTGAAAAGCCAAGTGACCCTGAAAATCCTACTTAGCCTCTTTAAGTCTCCACTGTCCTAAGAGTACAAAGGAAATGTAACAAATCTCCCTTGCGGGGTGGCTATGAGGCTTAAATTCACCTGTGGGTGGAACAGACCGGATATACTACCTTCTCCTGAATAGGTGTTCAATCAAGGGAAAATATTGTCTTTGTTATTACGGCAGAGCCAAGAAGACAAGGACCTACATAAAAACAATTCCGGTTCTCTGCAGTCTGCTTAGGTGGGAGACAGGCATGCTGTAGAAAAGAAGACCTCTCTGGGGCCCGTTAACACGGGAGTGGTAATAAGCCTGTGGCAGTTTCTTCTGCTCTAATGGGCAATCTTTCAAAGGGGTTTTCTTCTTTTTCATGGCAATCAATTTCTCCTGAGACAGTTACCCTCCATATGTTCTCACTTTTCCACTTGCTATAAAGAAAAATAAGTCTGAGCACATTAACTTGCCAACTATTCCTGAAGAAACTGGCAACTCTCCGTATATATTGGCCAGAATTTGAACATTTATTTTGAGAAGACAGATTTCACTCCAGTTAAGAATGCTTACTTACTTTTGCCAAGTAGAGAAATGTATCTACCATTTCCTGCTGCTTCAGGGCTGATTTAAACTGTTTTTCTGCTTCACGATACATTCCTAACCTAAGAACAGCCATTTTAAAAATGAGACATTCAACTTAAAAATAAATACTACAGCACTTATTCACACACTGAGGATATGAATAGAGACAAATCACATTTCTATCTCTAAGAGTAGGCATGTACTAAAGAAGCTAATGTTATACACACATAGAAATTATTATCAGCATCATGTTGATCTAGTTGAGCACAAAGTTGCCTATTTCCCATATTCACTGTCCATGTAACCCTCCAATGGTATGTCACAAGTCTGTCTGCAGCCCGGACACAGCAGGACTAACAGAGCTGCCATCGAGCCAGGGCGCATCAGTTTACCACCCAAAGGGCTTATAATCAGCTGGACATACGGCAGGTGACCTGAGTAAACTCTCTGGGTCTCCATTTTATTGGAAGAACTTAGGGATGGCATTTCTTTGAAAACATCATCTACTCTTAGACAAAGGCCCATTTTTTTTTTAAACATTTTATTTACTTATTTGACAGAAAGAAGAGAGACAGCGAGAGAGGGAACACAAGCAGGGGGAGTGGGAGAGGGAGAACCAGGCTTCCCGCAGAGCAGGGGGCCTGATGCGGGACTCGATCCCAGGATCCTGAGATCATGACCTGAGCCGAAGGCAGATGCTTAATGACTGAGCCACCCAGGCGCCCCAACAAAGGCCCATTTTTAAAGCCCTTTTTAAACAGTTTTGATGTAAGTAGTAATTCCTTCTTGAGTGACATAGTTTTACCATTTTATGATTCTAGAAACATTTTCCTTTTTTATCTTCGTATCTGATACAGACTGTCCTAGTCTACAGATTTGAGAGTTGTTCCTTGCCTAACTACAACTGTCCTGATAACAGCCCCGTTTCTTCTGCCCAGGGACCATTTTATTATTACTGAATCAATCATTAGAGCATTAAAGCTCAGTCAGTCATTAAAGCACACTTCAGCCTGTTCTAGATCTGTCGGGTTTTCTCCTAACTACTCATCCCTAGCCAGCTAAGAACTGCTTAGGCACTTGATGATGCTTTCATTTTGTGAAATGAGTGTTTCACAGGATGTTCCACTGTGCTACTTTCATTCGGAGCCTTGACAGAAGAACTCTGACCTTCTACCTGGTTGTCTAAGCCTTGAGCACTGGTGTGGCTACACCGAGCAGCTGTAGGGAGATGTAGGATTAATGGGGTTAAAAGGGACCCCCCAAAACTACCCTAAAGTTAGAATGTGTGAAATGGTAGAAGCCCCCCCTCTTCAAAGCTCCCACAACTTTTACCAGGAGTATTCACAAAATGTTATCAAAGAACTCTCAAGTTCTGAAAAACAGCATAGGTTCTCTACAAAGCTTCAACTGAGCATTCAAATCTTAAGCATGTGGCTAAAGTTCAGCCACACTTAATTATCCATGAGAGTCTGTATATTTTTATCTACTATGATGTTTCTTCCCAAAAATGATTTAAAAGGGATTACAATATAATCCTATAAGATACATACAAAACAATAATATGAAAACAGAAATAGATTTTTTTAAACAATGGTGATGGAAAGATAAACAAATTTAAAAAAAAAGCAAAGCCATTTAGCTACCCTGGAAACCAAAGGAAAGACGGGTGGGTCATATATTTGTTTATTACTGCATCCTCAAGAGGTAACTTCTAATACTATCAAAAAGGAATAACCACATGGGTTCTTCTGCAAAGGAATTAAGTGGGCCACGTATAAAGAAAGTCTAGGAATAAGGAAAATATCAGTCAAGTTCATGAATACAAGCCCATATCAGAGAGTCAAAGTCCCAAGATAACCCCACCGACTGCCAACTTTTTCTCTCCAATTTAATTCAGTAAATATTGTCAAGCACCAACGCATGCACATTTCATGATGCAAACATGAAGATCACAAACAGTCCTAAAGGCACCAATAAGAATGGAACACAACATGTTCACAAATAAATGGAAACATATTATGGCTAATAAGAAAAAAAAAAGTGCTTTGAGAGCACAGAGGAGGAGTGAACCAAGATAGTTTCGGGGAGGAAGTGACAGGCAAGATTTTGAGAGCTAGACAGGGTGGGGTGAGTGGGGGGACATCTCAGATGGAAGCAAACTATCTGCACAGACACACAGTAGAGGGGAGGGGAATGCTGAGTTGTTTGGTTTAACTGGAAAGAAGGACACAATAAGTAATGGGAGAAGGGAGTGAGGGTGCAAGCGTGGACTGGGACAAGATCAGACATGCCACGCTTAACATGCAGACTTTATCCTAGAGGTAGTGGAGATTAGTCAAAGAATTCACCAGGAGCTGTTTTCTTCCTAACAGTTATTCTGATGGTAGTATATAAGAAGGATTGGCGGGGGGAGAGAACCCAGATAAGAAGCTAATGGAACAATTCAAAAAAAATGAAAGTCAGAATTCAGGCACTGGAGTGGGAATGGGGTGGTAGGGGAGCTACTGTAGACAAAGAACTGGCAGGATTTACCAGTCAGGAGCAAGAGACACAAGTCAATTAGGGCTCCATCCTCTGGTAATCCATCCTTGACCTCTCCAGTCCAAGTTACGAGCTCTTTCTCTGAGCTTCCTGCGCTTGCTTCTATCACAGTGGGAGCCATGCTTATGATTGTTTACTGTCCTCTCTCCCCCACTGGACTGTAAACCATTTGAAGGAAGGACTATCTAATAAATATTTGTAACCCCTGTACCTGGCTCGTTAAATAGCTTAGTGAGTCAGTGAATGCAGGAGTGCTGAGCACATACTAAAGATGAGAGGCTATTAAGGGACAGAGGAGAACAGTGATTAATATGGCAAGGTACACTCATTTAAATGCCATCTTATACAGATGGCAGAAGGAATCCAAATTGTGCTTTTCTTCAATTATTCAAGATTTCTTAAGATTTGTTTAGAAGCTCAGATTTCAAGCTTGCCTTCAGAAATTATATTCATAAAAGTTTAATGGTATAATGCTATAAAATTACCTTTTAGTAGAAAATACTTCCTCAGCCTAACCGCAGAAAAAACACTTTAAGTTCTATGTAAAATATCTAAGTGGAAAGTAGTCTTAATTTCAACCAAAAAAGAATAAGCATCCTTTTCATTCCATTTATATATTTTCTTTTCCTCACAGTGTTTGATAAGTAAAGTTCATAAGGACTAAAGGATGCTCACAGTAACTGGTCTACCTTGTTTTGAATGCTAAAAGATGTATTTATATTTATAAAATACAATTGCCCGTTTGTCTCTATTTTTCAAATGCTCCAAATGCATTTCAATACCAGGCAACACGTTTTAGATCTCATTTACTAGTTGCTGTATAATATTCATAAAATTAATTACAACTTTTCTGACCTCTCAATTAATTTGCTTAAAAATGTGTTTAAGGGCGCCTGGGTGGCTCAGTCAGTTAGGCATCTGACTCTTGATTTCAGCTCAGGCCATGATCTCAGGGTCATGAGATCGAGCCCTGTGTGGGGCTCCATGCTCAGTGGGAAATCTACTTGAAGAGTCTCACCCTCTGCCCCACCCCCGCTTGTGTGTGCGCTCTCCCTACCTCCAAAAAAAATGTGTTTAAACATTAAGTGAATTAATGTAAGAATATTCAGATCCTAGAGAAACACTAGAATTGTGCAAGTAGTAAGAGAACTGGCATCAGAAAGCTGAGCTCAAATTCTTGTTCTGCCACTTACAGGCTGTGTGACTTTGGACCAGTCACTTTATCTTTCTGAGGCTCAATTTTTCTCATCTGGACAAAGAGCTAATGATAATAGCAACTACCTCCAGGTGCTGTGAGATTTAAGTGAGTTAACGTAACATGTGGACAAAGAAGCTCTCAGCTGGGAAGCACTTTACGGATGGGAGGCATCAGGGGACATAAAAAGACTTGAGAGCAAGAGAAGAGGAATGGGAGTCAACAGACTCAGATCCAACAGGTCCGTTACTAACTAGTCTTTCACTAAGTAGTGCCTGATGCAAATCCAAGGCTCTCTCTGGCCTCACTTCCTCATCTGAAAAGGGGTGTTGGATCTGATGGTCTCAGAGTTTCCCCTGCCCAGCACTACCATTTTATCATTCCAAAGGTATCAGTTCTTAGCGCTACCATGTTTAAATGCTTTCTCACCTAAGTCAAAGACATAGTTCTCATTTCTTCCCGAGGAAATCAACCCAGAAAAAAGTAACGATCAGGGTTGAGACTCTAAAATATGCCACCATGTCTAAGCCCTTCACAAATACTCAAAATTTTACCTGTAGTAACATTTTCCAATCTGCACTTTCCACCACCAGTCCTTGTACTGAGAGTGCTCTGTGCAAAGGGCAGCCAAGTCCAAAGCCTTTGAAAACAATTCATTTTGGATTAGGATTTTCTTTTCGAACAATGAACAGAAACAATAAATAATGAAATAAACCGTATAATTAGCATCAATCAAAACATGCATTAGAAATCAGACAGAAACTCAAGTTGCTCATGTTTCCAGATGGCTCCACCAATTTTCCCTAAATAATCAGTTCCAGACCGGAGGGCTGGCAGCAGATGAATAGTAAAAACTGATCAAAGAAAAGCAGATGTACAATATTTTAGAATACAATTTTAATATACAAGGCACAAAATGGATATTAAAAAATCCCCTAAGTTGTATGCTCTCCCCACCCTTTATCTACCGTCCAGTGATTCAAAATGCCTCTAAACTCAGCAGCAGCCAAGCCTTTGGTGTGTCAGCCAGGAACAACTGCCAGGCCCCACTTGAAGACAGATGTAGAGAAATAGAGAAAGAGCAAGTAAGCAGAGAGAAGGAGGTCTAGAGAACAGGATTATGAAGCGTCAAAAGAGCAAAGGCACTTGGACATCCATCGTCTTCCACCACCACTATTCTATCATTCTGACCCCAGCTCACATCTAGTGATGCTGAGGGTCAGACTCGCCTTTGCTGCAGACTGAAAAAGATCTTCTGAGCTGCTTTCTTATTTTATATGTGTTTATCCCTTTCTCTCTAATGTCTTCTAGTTTGTTCCTTCTAGTGTTTATTCAAGATCAGACATGAGATGACTAAATAGGAATTAGGATTTTATACAGAAGAAGTGGAAACCTTTTGGACAAAAAGGAAAGCAAATCCATCTTTACACAAATTTGAAGCTCAGGTGAAGATCTGGTGAATAAAAACTCAGGTTATTAGTTAAAAGAGAATTCTCATGTTTTATTATATTTATTCTTTCAAGGTTAGAAAGCTCTTATTCTTTAGCCAGTGTTAGTATAACCATGATATCCAACAGTTAAAGTAACTCTCAGATTTCAGTTCTATTAGCTCAGAATATATCCCATATTACTGTCCATGTCTTAATATGAACTCTTTCCTGAAATGCAAGCCAGATGAGTTCCTTCGATCTCCTACCACAGAGTTAATAATTTTTCCTTGCGTTTCCCCATCTCTTCTTGCTCCAGGGGAGACTTCTAACTATGCAAACTCTTTATAAAGAGATGATGTCACCACACTGAGGTTCTAATGGACCTGAAAAAATCAACACCTCTATTTGAAAGCTATGGGAATTAAAAACAAGCCACACACTACTTTCATATGCTTATTTTCCTTTTTCCCCAAGCCAGAAATAAGTGGAAGCAAAAAAATACGGGGAAAAAGTATAACTTTCATTATTAGCATTATCTCTGAAAATACTCGAAAACCATATTTTCAAACAGCTCAATTCAGGACTGCATTGTAAATATCTGAACATATTAATTTTAACTTAATATTTATAAAGAACTCTTCCAGCAGATAGATCATATTCACTCTCATATTGAATATAACAGACCTTCTAGGTTTTCAGAAAAATATGTCACTCTAAATTTGTCACATATTCCAATTGCCCAAGGTTAGATTTAGCACTTATTACAGGCTGCTGATTTTGCTTATGGTCCTAAAACCAGTCTTCCTACGTAAGACGTCTATGTTTGTGCTGAACTGATTAAGGAAATTACCATGAATTGTTGATACAGAATAAAAATTGTAAAAAATGTACACATTTTAGTGATCATTTATCATATGAACACTGAGGATTTACTAGACAAAACTATTTGTGACCTTTTCAAATGGGCCTTAAGTTCCCTGAGGACAGGCACCCCTTCTTACGCATCTCTGTTGTTCTGATATGTATCTATGCTGTTAAGAGGCACTCAGGAATGATGTTTTGATTGAATTAATTCTACTCCTTATTTCTGACTTATATTGAAAATAACTTAAGAGCCAACAAAACTGTCATAGTAATAAGATTCATAATGAAAAGCTATTAACATTTTAAAACGTTAAGGTAATGACAGATGTATATTTCTTTAAAGCCTTTCCCAATGTTTAAAAATAAATGACTACATAATATTTAAGAATCTTCGAATGATTTAATCAATCTAATATCTAGATATTAGTGAAGGCCTAGAATGTCGTATAAAAGCCGTAAGTTTATAAGAGTCCGTAAGGAGAGGGGACCTTGGCAGAGCTAGACTACATAATGTTTGTGAACACACCCAACCGAATGTCCCAGTGTATTTCTAAGTATCAGTGCTCCCACCACTAATATTTTTTAAAAACCAGCCATCCTTTAACTATTGTTATAGCTGCAACAACTTTAGGATGATTAAAGAGCATATGGAAATGAAGATCCCAGAATCCGCCCACTTTAATTTTGCCAGTACTGCCAGGATCACCCCAAAAGGCACAAGTGAGGAGAGAAGGGAATTAAGAACTCAAAGGCAAAAATACAGTTTTCCATAAATCAACTTTACTTATCGCTTAACTATCACTTCATAATATTCTCTATAGTTACCTACAGTATCCTCCAGATTGGTCTGTAGAAAAATACAGAATCACCAACCCACATGGCACTTAGTTTTGTCGACATTGCCCACACAAATGGAAAAAGCATTCAGAATGGAAAGACAGGAGTATAGTTTTCCATGGAAGGTCAATTTCATTCTTTCTTAACATTTAAGTAGGACTTCACAGTACCCTCCCTATTTGTCAATAATATTCTCTGTATCTGTGTGAAATAGTTTATTGAAAAAGAAATTTGGAGGCCACCCAAAGTAACTAATACAAAAGTACGTCTGATTTCTTAAACATGTGAAAAAGACAGTTTCTCTTTTCTTTTTCCAGCTACAGTTGTAAAACATAGTTTGGAAAAAAAGGTATAAAAATGCACAAATGCATGCTTTCTGCTCATTACCTAAATCCTTCTTCCATTGAGAAAATAACATTTGTGGTAAAAATCTAAAATGACATCTTAATGGAACAAGCTGATCCATAACAGAACTTTAATGTGATGAGCCCATAACAGAGTAAAAAAACAGATACAGGGCATCTGTCCCACTCAATACTGCTCACATCCATCACAGCACCAATACACAGGCACTCAATAAGTCCTTGTTTAAAGAATAACCCAATCAAGCAATAAGCCAATTAATAAATTAATGAATAAAAGGAAAACAGAGGAATGAACAATTTGTGCTTTTTACTAAATAAAAACAAAAACTGCTTAATTTCATGTTCTATAAAATATGTGTATTGAGGGTAAGCAGATGAAAATAACAAGAAGCATACAATTACAAGCATTTTAATTTATCACTGCCCCTAACTCATAGCTAAACCTACAAATGAAAAGTTGCTATAACATTATTGAAAATTTTGGGAAAAAATGGATAAAATTTTGGTAAAATTGGATAATTTCCATTAGTGCCATGAAATATAGCTTTTTTATTTACTGTTGTAATGTAAGCTATTGGCATGATGTAGGCATTTAACAAATATCTGTAGAATTAATAGATGTCAACCCTGTAATACTTTTGTTTCCATTTTTTGGTAATACCTTCTAGTATATGTTATAAATATATATGTTTAGAGTGATAATTCTATTTAACGTACGTGCTAAAGGGTATACTTTGTTGGCTTAACATTATAAACACTTTTCTGTTTCTGCCTAATTTTTATAATTATGATTTTTAATGGCTGCATAAAACCCCGGCATGCAGTGTATTATAATTTACTACGCTCGTCTTCTATCATTGAACATATAGGTTATCGTCCAGTTTGCTTTGCTACTATGACCAATGCTACAATGAACATCTTTGCAAATATAGCACTTCTTTGTGAAATTTCTTGAGAAGGGAAATTACAGAAACAAATGGAGTAAGTATGTTTATAACTATCTGTTTTATATTATCATACTCTTTTCCAAGATATTATACCATTTAAAACATCATCTATAATATATCAGTATAACAATTACGCTCCTCTCTCCCAGCATTCTCCCTAAATTTCATAAATGCAAAATTGCAAGTCCAAAATTTCTTTCACTTACATTTTTCTGTTAGAAAGTGTATCTCTAATGTGCTTGTTTACTGGCATTTTCTCTCATGTAAATTTTCTGTTACTGGATCATTTCCATTTCCATAAAACATTTCCTAACAAAGTCAGATAAGCTTTTTCCTATTTAACAAACACTAACGTTTTTAAATCATGCTCATGTACATGATTCACCCTTCCGTTGTCCTTCTATGTTGCGTTTTGTTTTGTTTCTGTTCACTGTGCAGAGATATATATAAATCAATAAGTCTTTATCCTTTGTGATTGCTTCATAAATGCAACCAAATCTGTGAACTATTCTATTGCTTACTGATTTAATTTTTAAAAAAATTCTTCACTACTCAAATGTCTATAAGAAAGTCTTTAAACAAATTTTCTCAACAGTGTTGTTTAATGAAGCATAAGGATCTATTTTGAAAAGAGTCAAAAATTGCACACAATGTTGCCTGTTTTTGGAGTATTAAAGAGTGTTTCACTGTTCTAAGAATAAAAATATAAAATTTGTAGGTGGGGACTTTAGCTCTCAAACACAATTTTGTATCACTTCCTTGCTACGGAGATCTATTTGACAATCATTTTTGCTGTGCCTTTTCTCTTAATTTGTGGACTTCCTCCATTAAGCCAGGAGACACACTCCCTCCTATTCATTTGTTACACGCAGCTCTGGCCTTCAAGTCCTGTTCATGCTCCCAGCTCTATTTTCCTACATTAGAAGGCCTAGCATTCCAGCTTTCTATTAATCGTTGCCTTTCAAACCATATCCTTCAGCAGTAGTTCCCAATCCTGGCTGAAAACTCGCATTGCCTGTGGAACTTTTAACAACAGATTTACCAGACATACCCATGGGGATTCTGATTCAGGAAGTCAAGCACGGATCCAGAAATCCATTATTTTAAAATTCACCAGGTGATGCAGAAACAGTAGGATTTAGGAACTACTTAAGAGCCCTAGGCTTTGAGGGGCTGAAGCTCACGTGGTGGAGGAGTAAGGAGTCGTCCTGGTGGGTGTGTTCTTGGTCTGCTACTTCTGCTTAAATTCAAGCAGCCCTGCTTTTGTCTGTTTTATACAGCAGGGTCTGCATGAGATGTCATTTGAAGAGAAAGGTTGTGCTGCTTAAAAAAAAAAAATTGAAAGTCACTGCTCTATTTGTTTAACGTTTTCAAATTTTAAGATTTTAAGATGTTCACATATTTTTTTTTCAGTCAATGAATATGAAGAACAGTGAAAGCATTCTAAAAGAGTCACATAATACGTAAAGGTTAAAGTCTGTTAGACTCCTTAGAATCCTTAGAATCTTTAGTATACAAGTTCAGTTAGTGCAGAGAATAAATCCTATTTTATTTCAATGTGGTTCCTATTCCTCAACACCATTATATCAATACCGAGATGTAGAGCGACATCCTCAAGATGAATCTATTGATAAAGACACCATCACCATGATCTACAAACAGCGTACAGTCTGTCTACTTTCTGAACCCATTGTCTGCAACTCCTCCCCTCACAGACCTCACTCCAGCCACCCTGGCCTCCTTACTGTTTCTTGAGCAATCCAAGCCTGCCTCCACTCAGGGCCTTTGCAGTTAAAGTTCTCTCTGACTTACATATTCTTCCTACACGAGGCTGTATGGTCCACCCCCCTTTGTTAGGTCTCTGTTTAAGTGTCTTTTCAGAGTGGATTTCACTGACCACCTTCCACCCCATCCAAAATAGCATCTTCCCCTGTAGCACTGTCCAATCCCCTACCTGCTTTCCTGCTCTGTTGCTCTCATAGTACTTATTATCCCATGACACGTGATGTGTTTCTAAATTTGCTGGTTGTCTCTGTTCCTTGCACAACCAGGGTATGATCTCCAAAAGGGCAGAGATTTTGTCTGCCTGCTTCACTCTGTGATCTCAAGGCCTTAGAACAGTGGCTAGCACACTGTCTTGGCTTAGACATTTTTAGATGAAAGAATACATGTCTCTTCAATAAATGAATTAATCCTCAAAAAGTCAAGATACAGCTTTATGCTATGTAGAGATTGACTCCTTTGTTTGGATGTTTCTTTATAAGGACAGTTTAATTACATGATTTTACATGTCACATTGAAAGCCTCTGCCCACCTTTATATTAAGTGAAAATGGCCTATACCCACTTACTTAGAGAAATATGCATGATTTCTGCTCCAACCTGGGTTTCCTCTCTTCCCTACATGGCCACATGCACTAGCACTTCGTGACAGACAACTTCCACATTGTGTGTATGGGGTGCAGGCTCTCACCAACAGTTAGTACCGCATCTTCCAAGACATGCAGTGCTATCTCCACTTGGATAGTCTGTCACAATTTCAAACTCAAAATGCCTTCAAGTGAATTATCCAGCTTCTGTAGAAACTGACTACTTCCTTCCTTAATTATCCCATTTCTGTTAGTAAAACAATCCTTCTTGTAGCACCTTTAGGAGGCAGATTTGATGTGTGTCTTTCCTCTGTCCTCCACATCTAATCTATCATCATGCTCCACCACTTCATTCTTTAAAATGTCTCTTTGATGCTCCCATTTCTTAGTAGATGGACAATTTATTTCTCACTCCATACCTTGCTCATGTTTTTACACTTTTTTATATTTATTTTCCCTCCTTCCCCCCAAAAATCTGACTGACTTTGTGGCTCTTTACTAATATCACCCCTTTGATTTTTTTTTCCCTTTGCTACCTGTTGACAATTTCACAGCTTGGCAATTGCCGCTTTGTTTCGTTATGCCAATTTTATTTTCTCAGCTAGACTGCATGGCTTATAGAGTCAGGAAAAAAAAATATTTTTATTAGTTTTCCTAGCACATAGCACAGTGGCTGACACATAGAAAACACAACTGAGGAAAACGTTTTTATTTTCCTGAATATTTAACATATGGTTATAAAGCTTTTTCCCTAAACTAATAAGAAAAAGGGGAAATACTATCATCAGACACTGTGGAATTAACTACGTTCAATTTGACAAAATTTGTGAGGTAACTGGTCATTTGTATATTATATGCATGTAAAAAGTGAAACACATGAAGTCATATGCATATACCCTTAAAACTCTGCCAAGAAGCTACCAAGATGATTGAATATTACTGAAGCTGGGTGATGGGTGATACTGGCTCATTATATCATTCTCTCTACTTGTGTGTGTTTGAATTTTTCTATCATAAAATATTTAAGGAGGGGGAAGGGGTGCATTACAAAGAAACCAGAAATACTCATATGAGTAAACCTATAATAATATACTATATGGACTACAGGAAAGCAATGGATCAACAGTGCAAACTATTAGCATGAAAAATAACCTGTAGCACAAGCACATTACGCAATATTCTCAATTATCTGTATCTTGCTCTTCAGTGGATATCTACATACTCTATGGACCAGGCACAGTTCTTACCACTTCTATATTTATAACAAATTTTCCTATTGAAACTGACAGTGGATTTGAAAGTATTAGTAATGCTCCAATTTTTAATAATTCCCTCTGTTTATAAGGTAAGAAATAGAACATTTCAGAATCAAAATCCCCAAAGTCAGGAAAATTACAAGAGAAAATAGCATGAATTCAAAACTTACAGTCTTAACATCATTTTCATGATGAAAGATATATTCAAACAAAGCCTATGAAGAAAAAAAATGCCAAAAATACATTAGATTTTATTTTAACAAAAGCACTCTATTGTTATATCAAAACTGAGAGACTATTTTGACAGCAGCTGGGTTGAACCAAAATAAGAAGGTACTCTCAAAGTACCTTTATGAGTAAATGGTCTATCCATTATCTGTTACAATCACCATTTTAAAATACAGCAATTTATACCTGATTCCTGTTTTTATAGAATACAAACTGGAAAACTCAAAGAACTAAACAGTGTTTTTCATCTTACACATACTATTTTACTAGAAAGAGACAAATGAAAAGACCAACTTTGGAATTATCCTAAAACAGATTCAGCCCATTCTTTTACACATTCTACATATATGATATAGTGATTATGATATGGATAATGACACTTTACACATGAGGAAAATCTGGAAGTTCCTTTTGAAACAAAGTAGAGCTTAAGTGTAAAATGGGAGGTGTAGATGACTTCACTCAACTCATCTGGATAAATAAGCATTTCCTGAACTACCCCTTGGTGGTATCACGTTTGTCCGTAAAGCCATTATTGAACACTTGCAAAGAGGCTAGCATATCAGGGTTATTACCAGAGAAGACTTAAGAGGCAACCAAAGAAAGAAAAAAAGAAATCAGGGCAAGGCCCTTCTTTTAAAAACTATACCTATACCTCCACTTGTTCTCTTATAAATAAGAAAAGTTAAGAGTGCAGTTGGTGCTCCCATTGCTGTGAAAAGTTACCATAGACAACTCAAGCAATCTTTATCAGAAATGAGTCCTGGTGAGTAAAGGCGAATTGGAAACCAAAGACAGAAAAGGTGGGCATTATTTCTACAACACACTAAAAAAGCACAAAATCTAGTTCAGTTTAAATCTGTTACCACAGACGAGGTCTGTTCTAGAAGCATCTTCGTTTGAGGGAGATGCCTTCACAGACTGCACTCCCCGGATAGAAAACAGCAATGGGGAGGCACCTGAGGGGCGCAGTCAGTTAAGCGACTGACTCTTGGTTTCAGCTCAGGTCATGATCTCAGGATCATGGGATCAAGCCCCACGTCAGGCTCCACACTGAGTGCAGAGTCTGCTTAAGTTTCTCTCTCTCCCTCTTCCTCTGCACCACCCCACCTCCTCTCTCTCTCTCTCTCAAATAAATAAATCTTTAAAAAAGAAAACAGCAATGGGGGTACCAACTAGCCATCCAGCCACCTCAAGTAAATGGCCTAAAAAGGCAGGGGAACCAGATATTCCATATGAGTTGCAGTTAATACTCCATTCTCACAAAGGTTAGGGAAATAAGTATGGCCTTACAATTCTAGTAAAATGAAGTTGACAGATTGCTGTCAAATAAGAAATTAAGAAAAATGTCATCAGTGTTATTATAAGCTAATTCCCTATCAACTGACATTTCTTTTTCTGGTTTTAATTTCAACTCTGTATGGCTAGCATCCATTCTTATATTCCTTAGTGTTTGACATTTAGTAAATATGTTAAACACCATTAGAACTAAGATTCAGAATGAACTCAGCACTCATGCACAGAATTCACAGAGATTACAGCTACAAACCTGGGCTAGGCTTAGACCAGTTTCAGCACCAGCTAAGTGCTCATGTCTCTGAACTATTCCAAGCTCAACTCCAAGTTTATCTTTACACTGAAAAGGTCATGGATCTCTCAGGCTCTTTCTCTCTCTCCTTCTCACTCTCTCTCACCATGCATACACACACTTACTTTCACTCTCTTTAATTTAAAGGAACATCTAATCTTTTTAAAATTTATTTATTCATTTGAGAGGGGGGAGAGAACGTGCGTGTACATGCAAGTGGGGGGAGGGGCAGAGGGAGAAAATCTTCAAGCAGACTCCCTGCTGAGTGCAGAGCCAGATGCAGGGCTCGATCTCATGACTCTGAGATCATGACCCAAACCTAAAGGAAAAGTCGGACGCTCAACTGACTGAGTCACCCAGGTGCCCCCGAGCAACTAGTCTTTGAGTAGTTAGAATTATTAACATAATTCTCAATAAGGATCACTCAAGCCAGTCAGTGATAGTGAGATGCCTGCCTAATTACTAATTAGAAGTACATATTTTTTTATCTTCCTTTTGGACAGTCCTAAAATTCTACAAGGATAGAAAATTATTTTTCTGAGAGTAGTCCAAGATGAAAAAGAAAAACACACACACACTGATGACCTTCTAAGCTTCCTTCCACAAAGATGATGCTGCATATCTACTTTCTTTGTTATAAATTGCTATTCCTTTATCAACAATAGACAAACTATGGAGAGAGCCCAAATGTTCAATGACTGATGAATGGATAAAGAAGATGTGGTATATATGTACAATAGAATATTACTCAGCCATCAAAAAGAATGAAATCTTGCCATTTGCAATGACATGGATGGAGCTAGAGAGTGTTACGCTAAGTGAAACAAATCAGTCAGAGAAAGACAAATACCATATGATCTCACTCATATGTGGAATTTAAGAAAGAAAACAGATGAACATATGGGAAGGGGGAAAGAAAAAGGAAAGGAGACAGGGAAACAAACCATAAGAGGCCCTCAATGGTAGAGAACAAACTGAGGGTTGATGGAGGGAGATGGATGGGGGATGGGCTAGATGGGTGATGGGGATTAAGGAGGGCACTTGTTGGGATGAGCACTGGGTGTTGTATGTAAGTGATGAACCACTAAATTCTATTCCAGAAACCAATATTGCACTGTATGTTAACTAACTAGAATTTAAATTTTTTAAAAAGTTGCTGTTGTTTATCAGAGGAAAAAGAACTTCCTATAATAATGGTATATAGACTTTATTTCTGATTGACTTTCCTTAACTCAAAAGACTAAGAGAAATTTTACACAGTTCAGTAATTAAACATTTCCATTTCAATCAAGACATCACCTTTCCTTCACAACTTTTTTTCTATTTCCTACAATGTTGTTATGATAATACATCTAACATTACTTCATAACATATAATCACTTTAAGTACATACCTTTGCCAATTTAGGTTTCTGGGCATATTTTGTTAAATTCAGTCTAGATAAGTTTATAAAAGGTCCATCAGGACTTGTAAGCATGGAAGCCTATAGGGAAAAATGACAGAACAAGAGATCTGAGACTTTCTCTTAAAACATAAATTGAGTTTAATGAGCATAAAAATTATAAAGGCAACATAAGTAAAAAAGAATCACCTGTAAAAAATCTTCCATATAACTTTCCACTGTAACAATAGCAAAAAAATGATATAACATAAAGTTACTTGGGTAATACAAACTATGGTAAAGCTGACAGAATTTACCGTTCCCAGCCTGACAAATCTTCCAGATGAGCTGGTGATAGGGCGAGCCGTGTAGGCAGTTCTGGGAGTTCTGATGGCCTGCTCCATGGTGCCAGGCCTTCCGCTCTGTGTGCCGGGTCTAAGGAAACCTGTAATGGGTCTTCCAGCTTGAGTGATTGGCCTGTGAAAAGTGTACATTGTGAAAATACAAAGAAGGTCAATAAAGGAAGATTCTCCTACAGTCTGGTCACTATTTAAGGACAGAGGGTATGAAACAGAAGTACAGGGGCGCCTGGGTGGCTCAGTCGTTAAGCATCTGCCTTCAGCTCAGGTCATGATCCCAGGGTCCTGGGATCGAGCCCCGCATCAGGCTCCCTGCTCAGTGGGAAGCCTGCTTCTCCCTCTCTACTCCCCCTGCTTGTGTTCCCTCTCTCGCTGTGTCTCTCTCCGTCAAATAAATAAATAAAATCTTTAAAAAAAAAAAAAGAAACAGAAGTGCATACCTGACAGCTGGACTAGGCCCTCCCATCTGATTAGTTCCAGGGAGTTTCAAAGATGTGCCAGGGCCTGTGAGATGAGATGGCAAATTCAATTAATATATTAGTTGTTAATCTGTAAAAACTGTCAGCTAACATAATTTTCAGAAATGCGCCAGCCTGGTGCAAAGGACATTAATAACAGGAAATGTATTTTAGGAAAATGTGTTTGAGACTGGTATTTATTGAGTATCTATCATGTTATTTTATGTTATCACATGTAATCCTCAAAGTCTGGAAGGTAGGTAGTATTCACTTGTTTAGCAAAGGCTTAGAGGGTTAAGCAAAGAGGTCAACCTGTTAGTAGAGCTGGGGTTCAAACTCAAGGCTAGCAAGCTTCAAAGCACCAAAAGACGGTTCTATACTCATAGTTTATTTCTGATATAAAATCTAGAATTGGGACATTTTAGCTCCAAAAGAGCAAAACGATGGGGAAAAAAGAATTCTAACATGAACAATATGTATTTTTTTTTCTCAATTTTCATTTGAAGCTTTAAAAGTTATTATCTTTCAAAACATATAAATGACTGATAACTGTTAAAACTATCAAATACCAGCAAGACCACCAAATGTCGTGGTAATCACTAAATACCATTTGCACTAGCACATCCGCAAGCTGGGGACTGGGCTTCTGTGACAATCCCAACAGCATTCACAGGCCAGCATATCACCCCGTCACCTCACATCAAGCATTAGAGCAAATCACCTTCAATTATTACAGTGAAGTGATGTTTTCCAGTGATCTTTTTTAAAAAAAAAAAATCCTTTTAGAACACTTCTGTTGTTTGGGTGCTTCCTGGGTTGCAATTCTCAGTTCTGATATACTTAGATAAGCAGTTCAGCTAGAATGCATTTTAAATATAAAATATTTTTAAATGCATAATATGGCTTTTATTAAAAAATGGCTTTATACAGCAATCTCACATCTTAAGTTTAAGATAATATAATTGAATTGGGGAAGGAAAGTCTTTGTACTATTATGGAGGATAGAGACCATTTACTTGATAAATGTTTTTTCATGTATATGTCTTGTGTTTCTTTTATATACAAATAGTATTCTTCCTCCTAATGGCATTTCATTTACTTAAGGGAAAAACCAGTACTTACGTGGAACTTGAGCAATAGCATTTTCATCCAGCATCATTTCTGCAATTCCTTCCTGATCTACATCAATTTCATCTATGTACACCATTTCGGTTAGTGCTCGTGCCTTTAAAATCCAAGCTGCCTATAAGCATGGATAAAATAAAGCATATATTAAGTAGTATTAGAAGTACTGCCTATAGGGGCGCCAGGGTGGCTCAGTCAGTTAAGCGACTGCCTTCAGCTCGGGTCATGATCTCAGGGTCCCGGGATCGAGCCCCACATTGAGCTCCCGGCTCGGTGGGAGGCCTGCTTCTCCGTCTACCATACCCCCTGCTTGTGTTCCCTCTCTCACTGTCTCTCTGTCAAATAAATAAATAAAATCTTAAAAAAAAATACTGCCTATGGAAGCTTTATTATTGTCTAACTTTTTATTGGGCATGTTTACCACTTAGTGCATTATACTAATTTAAAGGACTATGTCAAGAAACTAATACAGGAAGGCAAGGTCATTACTAATCAAGAAATACCCATTAGATCAATTACCTAGTAAATAAAAGTGTGGTATTGCCTGGTAGTCTTCTAACATGCCTTTTTATAAGTAAAAGAAGATCTTTAGAGAAAATTTTACTGGAATAGTAATTTGAAAACAAATTAATTAAGCTACGACCACAGTGCTCTTTCTGCCTTCAGGACCAGAAGTCCATCATGAAGTCTTCCCTGATGGGGAAACCTACTAAACCTACTTACCTCTTGTCTTTGTCCTAGAGCATTCTCTTTACACTTCTATTATATGTACTTACCATATTCGAGAAACTCTGTAATTATTGGGCACATGTTAGCCCTCCCTTCCCCAGAACACAAGCCTTTTTACCTTGTTCAGTTCTGAATTTTCCATAACACCTATGGTTTTTGCACACATTAGGTATTCCAAAAATGTTGAATTGAACTAAGATCAATTTCTCCCAATTCCCAATAACTAATCAACACAATCTTGGTTTGTGATCTAGCCAGTAGAAAAACTGCCATAGAGTGGGGTGGCGGGGGTAGAATGGAAAACATAATTAAGAAATCTGGAAAATATCAGCTTTGCTCTACCTTGAGAAATTAGATGTCAAGGTCTGCACAATTAAATATCTTGTTAAACATTTAAAACAGCCTTATCAGAAATGTTTACCTTTCTGCTTCACTAGAGACTAGAAGCAGAGAACAAAAAAGTCCTCATGTAAAGAACCCGAGATGCATTCACTCAGTCAGTCCATATCTATTGAGCACCTCCTAGTTACATGGCATTGGGCTAGGTTCTGAAAAGGAGACATGAGAAGATTAAAACTTGGGATTCTAATTTCCCTGAACACATCACCTACTTGAATTAAGTGACAAGGCAAAGCAGTGCATGATAGGTGACAGGTGTGTGGTATAGAAAATAGTTTTATAGGGATTAAAAAGGAGAGATCTTTTTGTGGGCTAAAATAATTGGAATGCATATATTAGACAAAAATTTTTAAGGAAAGAAGAAACTCTTCATGCTTTCACTTTAATGGGAATAAAGAAGGCTGCCTTCATTGCATCCTTAGGTTCCTAAAATGAAATTATATTTGATTAGATGATTGGGTTTTTTAGCTTATACTTTCCTGGGTAAGGTTTACTGGATTCTCATCAGATAACTTTTAATAAAATGTTTCAACGGTGTGGATTTAACACCATTGAATGAGCAGAATATGGAATCAAATACTTAATTTGTAAAAAAAAAAAAATATTCCAGTTGGAACTGCATCTAACTATGGCATCCACTAAAGTGTGGAAACAATCGGAGGTTTTCAATCCTCAAAGATCAGGAAGGTTGGCAGATCTATACAAGTATGCTCAGGGGTCAGGGAAGTCATCCCTGGCTTGAACTAATGGTTTAATTTAACTTCAAAGATGGAAATAAGTAATCCTGATTTATCTTGAGTCCCCACAGCTCAGACTGCCCTGCCAGGATCTGATGGCTTTCATTTCTCAAAAGGGTGTTCCTTGGTCAGCAGTCTGGTGGACAGGAAGGACCTGCAGCATTTGCTTTGAAACAGTGAGGCAGGATGTGGGCTCCGCTGGTTCACTCCCATACTACCAGGGAGCACCTGCTACGTACATGCCAGGTCCTGGGAATAGAGATGAGTAAGCCACAGGTCTTCTAGCTCACATGAATTTCAGTGTTGTAGGAAAAGCACAATAATAAAAGTCTGGAGCATACTATGGGAAGACAGAAAGAGGCACCCAGCTGCCTGGGGGTGGGGGGGCGTGGAAGAAGGGTAGGAGAGGAGAGTTTGCTAATGGCCAAGACTGGAAAGCGTTTACTAGGCAAAGCAACGGGACCAGGGCAGGCTAGCTTGAAGGCTGGTGGCAAGTTTGGCAAATCCAAATCAGTTGAGTAAGTTGAATCAGGTTCAGCTGAGGCAGCAATCAGAGAGGAAGCTGGAGAAAAAGGCAAAGGGCAGATGAGGGACCCTGTATGCCACAGTGAGATATATGGACTTTCATCCTGATGAGGAGGAGCTCATAAAGCTTCAAAACTATGACTTGGAGTTCTAGTTAAATCGACTTTTTAAAAGCCAAGTTTTTATTATTATGGTATCATTTATATAGCTGGGCATTAATTGTCCCTGCACATATCTTTTTAACAATTTGCATGTATCTACTGTTATAGTCCACTCCATCATGCTTCCTGACATCCATCTGCCTACTAACCTCTCAAATATTAAGAAGGTACAACTTTTTTTTTTAATATTAGGCTAAGCAAAACAAAAGAAAGTAAATCCACTGTTCCCTCCCCACCAAATGAATAAATGCTTCACATCTTTTTAAAAATGTTATTCCATAAGAAATCACTTTTTCAAAAAGGTAAATAGATCTATATTTATTTCAGTTTCTAGAACCTAATTCTTCAGAAGTAGAAATAATGGTGAGAATCTTGTATATTTAAAGATCTATAATAACATCTACTTAAACCATTACTTAATTTTACTTTATTTTACTTTAATTTTACTTTAATTTCATCAGTATTTGAGAATATTAATTTTCCTGACTTTCCTTCTGTCCTAACAAAAGTGACCTTGAAAATCACATATCACTGCTTGATTAAACATCAGACTGTATTCAAGAACTGCTCTTGGCAATGTGAACAATTCTTAGGCTTTGGATGAAAACAGCAGATGGGGCTTTGGCTTTTAAAAAAAAAAAAGGTTAAAAATTTTATTTTGGAAACAAGCCAAGTATGTTTTACAGCCGTAAAATCCTCTGTTTAAATTAAAAAAAAAAAAAGTTCAAAACTAATCAGTGATTAGAGTAAAATGCTAACAAGGCACAATGGATGATCCCAAACTGCCCCTTGCATCTGAATAAAAACATAAATTGGTGCTATCAGATATGTTTAAGTTGTTACTAAATGACAGGGTCATGTAGTAAATACATTTGAATACCTATCCATTGGAAGTACAGTGAAATCAACAAAAATCATAGAAGCGTAGGAACTTTTCTAAAGGGAAAAGCATAGATTCTCCTGAGTAACATGTCAATTATGTCCTTCTTTGCCTGTGAAACATAATCCCATCTCCTTCACCTACTGAGGCAGTCTACATGACATTACTCTTGAGGCAATAACATCAGGGAAATAATGCCTTGCTTGTACTATCTTCTGTGAGGTTGATCCAATTTTTGAAAATAAATATATGAAAAGGTAAAAACTCTAGTGACTGAGCAAAACACGTTTGAATTGTCCTGTTCCTTTTAAGACAGAATTTGAGGCCACTAGTTTAAGACATAAAAGAAACAATTTTGTTAGGTTATTAGAATAAGGCCGCCAAAGAACAGTCTGTCTAACCTGATTGAGCCATCATAAGAATCAGTAACATGTGACACTCTGCCTACTCTATGAAAATGCAAACTTAGACACAAAATATCGAATTGTTATTGTAAAGCCTCATTTATTTTGAAATTGTAAAAATGTGCAAAGGAGGAAGGCAAAATGTCTAAATAATGAACTCAAAAGAATCCTGTCAGACTTGTTCCCTTTTTATTCTTTTAGATCACTATCCAGTGGATAACTCAGTCTACAGTAACAGAACAGGAAAGTAATACTAAATACAGATCCTTCATCAAGTCCCTGCGCTGGATGGAAACTTTCAAATGCCATTTACAGTTTTAAAACCATACCAACAATGCAATTATTGGTGTTTTAATTTAACAAAGACTTCCAAAATTACTGAAAACAAAAAGCACATTACTTAATGTATAATTTAGGTCCTTCTCAAACGAATTGTACATATATTATGCAAAAAACAGCTTAGTACCATCTATCAATTTGGAAATCATGATTATGAACATTGTAGACAATGTTTAAATCCTTTTCAAGAACAGAGTGCTACATTTTAAACTATTTACGGTGCCTGTTTAATGTCACACAGACCTCTATCAGAGTACTTTGTATCTTGCTTTCTTCTAAAAGGTTGATTACTCATATGAACCACATATGAGGTCCCAAACTGTTTATTTACCTAAAAAACACTGTTACAATTCTCTGTTATGTGGCAGGGCAAACACCTGGCAATATTTAAGCTCTTTGATTTGTAGCACTTTCATCCCTTCGCCTTATTCCCAGACTTACTGGAAACCCTCTTGAGTTAAAAGATTCACCTCCTCTCCTTGGGTTCCCTCCAGACTCATTCACTGTGTCTTATCCAGTTAGCAGGTCTCTGTGGCCACCTCCTATCTCTAACCACGATGATTTAGTAGACATGGCTATCTGGCCAGTGTGCCCTTCCTTTCTTCCTCATGGTGGCAGACACCACTGTCTAAAACCAAGCCCTTCCCAAGCAGAGTCAGCCTACTCTTTACTCAAAACATATTGTCCTATCCATCACGGTCTTTTTGGACACTTGGGGCTCTGCTGACTTCTTGGCTCCCTTTCTAAGCTCCTGGTTCCCCTTGCCTCCTCCTCTATTTTTTTCAACCTCTGGTCAATATTGGTCATTTCTATTTAAGCTCCAAGTCCTAAGACCATAAGACTACTCATCCATAGACATAAAAATTTTGGAAATATAATACTTTACATAAAAAGGTACAGAATGTCTGGTAGAGATGGCTACTTTTATAACAGCATTAACAGAT